CAGAGGCCAAGGCCACAGAGAGAGACACGGTCGCTAAAGCCTTTGCCAGGCCATTTTTGGCTGCGTTGGGTGAATGCCAGCCATTCACCACCCAGTAGGCTGTAAGGATTTCCATTGCTCTCAGGTGGGGCGCTTCCAGTCGCAAGGGCGGGGCTCCCGACCTTGCCAGTAGGGGGCGAACGGCACAGCTGAGCAGCAGAGGATGAGCGCCTCACCACAAACCCCGCCCAGCGCCCCCTTGGGGCCATTGCAGCGTTTGTACTTCACTACATTGAAAGATTTCAACGTCTGGAAGGGATTCTAAAGGGTTGAGAACATTGTTCAAACACCACCAACAAAATCAGCACACAACAAAAGTGCTTTCTTGCTTAGCAGGGTATTAGTCTTCTGGGTAGACTCAGTTCACTAGTCTAGGACCAGTATCTGTTTGGGAGAAGGCAGAAAGAATGTGTTGGAGGCTCTGGGGGACAAAAGGCTCCTTATTTGGGATGCTCAAAAGCCTGGTGAGGGTGCCCTTGAAGGAGAAAGCTCACTTGGTGCACCCTGCATGGTCCTGGTGAGAAATCCATGAGGTGTGCACACATGGTATGGGGGATGGTTCCAAATCTCAGGCCCATCATTTTACCAGCTGAATGGCTTAGGCAGGTTGCACAAGCTTTATATTCAAAGGAGTAATGGCTACCGCATACCAGGAGCTGTCAAGCACAGAAGATTGTACTGAGGTCTGGACCATATGGCCTCTGCTCTTAAAGGATTCTAGTTGAGGAGGCAGCACATACATTTAAAAATAGAAGTAGGGACTTCCCTGGTGGCGCAGTGGTTAAGAATCCACCTCCCAATGCAGGCGACACAGGTTCGAGCCCTGGTCCGGGAAGATTCCACATGCCGCAGAGCAACTAAGCCCATGTGTCACAACTACTGAGCCCGCGTGCTGCAACTACTGAAGCCTGCGTGCCTAGAGCCCGTGCTCCTCAACAAGAGAAGCCACTGCAATGAGAAGCCCGCGCACCGCAACAAAGAGTAGCTCCTGCTTGCCACAACTAGAGAAAGCCCACGTGCAGCAATGAAGACCCAATGCAGCCAAAAATAAATAAAAAAAAAAAAATAGGAGTAACATGGGAAGGGCAGTGCACAGTAATCCTTAAGAGTTGAACACAATCAGGTTCAAATCCCAGCTTTCCCTCCTTAACTGGGATCGTCTTGGGCAAAGTTACTTAAGTTACAAAAGCTCACTTCAGTTTCCTCGAGTGTAAGATGGAAATAGAAATATCTACCTCATAGAATTCTGGTGACAATTAAGTAGGCTGTTACACATAAAGCTGTACATAACTCGTCCATCATACATATTCAGAAATGCTAGTTGTCGTTACTATAGTTATCATTAACTTTTTGACCCTGCACCTTGCAAACTGTAGATTAGAACAGGATAGTTGAAATGATCATGGGAATTGAGTGTCTCACATACAAGATCAGAGTTAAATAAGCTACGATTCACTGTCTGGAAAAATTCAGGCTGAAAAACAACAGCGTCTAGGTCCTGAAATGATATGTGAAGCAGCGGTACAGGCTAAGTCATTATATCTAAGAAAACAAACCCTAGGGAAAGGTCTCTGAACATTTGAAACAGATAGTTTTAGGACAAATGGAGTACTATATACTCTAATTTAAACCCAAAGGATATTTAACATTTCCCAAAATTTGTTCCATATTACACCACTCCTATGAGAAAGATGTTCAAGGAATAAATGATTTGATGGTCAAATATGTTTGGGAAATTCTACATATTTTATCACCCTCCTTTAAGAGTTTAGGATTCATAGAATGTTTTAAAGATCCTGTGAATTCCAGTAGAAACAAATCAACCCAACAGTTTAATTCTGTTTCATCCAGTATTTTCCAAACTACCCGACTAGAGAATGCAATAGCTGGTATTATTTTAAGAACACACTTCCTCAAGTTTAGAAGAGTTTCAAAATACGTATGTGTGCTTGGGGGTAGATCTCTAATCCTTTCAAGTTATCATCATCATCATCACTATTGGAAGACAGCTACTGAATACTCACTCGTCACCCTCATAAACGGAATGAGCTACGCTTCCGAAAGGCTTGAAACCCAGAAACAGCTGGGACTATAGAGAACACAATGGTAGAAGAGAATTGAAAGCAGACACATATGAGACCTGGTCATCATTAACCAACATCATCATCGTTGAGAATTTGCTGTGTGCAAAGTACCACTAGAAAAGGAAGATGATCATTAAGGGACATGGTCCCAGCTCTGAAACTCATGTCTTCTTATGGCTTCATTTTTTCAATCATGGAATTCCTATTCTTCTGAGCCTCACGGAAATGTATTAGGAAAACCACTGATATGAAAATTTAAACATTTTGGGAGAAGACACTTGTAAATTCCTCATATTATTATTTCCAGGTATCATAATCTAACTCACAAGAAACGAAAGAAGCAGAAGTATTGGGTCTGGTTCTAGCTTCCCCATCATAGGCTGTGTAGCTCTGCATCCGACCTTGGCTTCCTTGGGTCCTGATTCTTCATATAAAAGGAATCAGATGGCCTCTGTTATCTACAAAAGTCCTTCTGGCTTTAAAATTGTATGATTCCAGGATGTATGAAAATCGCATCATTGGAAGGCCAAGGTCAAATGCTATGAAGCAAAAAGACCAGATGTTCAAATATAAACAACCAGATGCCAGGGGGCAATGACACTTGAGGAAGGCAAGGGAGCAAGGAAGGCACGGTGTGTCAAGTAAATTCAGAATTAGACTGGACCAAGTAAGAGTTGATGGAGCACCTGGTAAGGAACATCAAAACCAGTAATGAGGGGTTTGTTTTGCTTTTAGCATCATCAAAGGGAAGAAGACTTAAATCAGACCATTTGATGATCACAGTGCAAAAGGTGCCCTAAGGGAAGAAAATGAAATACTAAAATAGAGACCAAAAGAATTATTGGTTGGGAAACCACTGGGCAGATTCTCTTTCCTAAATTGTCTTCTGAGGCAGAAAAACAAACAGAGCTAGACAGAGAGAATGTTCTGGTCCCATCCACGAGAAAGCCCTAAAGGAACTCTAAGCACAATCAGAGAACAAACCTTTGACCTGTCACTTTGAACTATTCCTGGACTAGAGATTGTGTGATTCCCATTTTATCAAGAATATTATGGGGACGGGGAAGACCAGGGTGATTACAGGGCCCTAGCAGTGCAAGAATCCCTGATCATCCTTCCAACCTCTCTTTGGGAAGCAGAAACAAGTGGTACCAAGGCAACTGGATTATCATGAATTACCCACCTCTTCCCAAAGTGATGCTAAGGCTCAATTTCTAAAAGAAATCTGGAAGGAAGGCAGAGAAAAGGGTTTCTCCTCTCCTTAAAGTGATGATACTCATAAGAAATAACAATAAAATAACTATCATTTACTAAGTGCTTTCTATGTACCAGTCTGTGGCTTACAGGTTTGCCCAGGTTTGACTGCCCAGTTTTGAATCCTGGTTCAGCCTCTTCTTGACTTGTTGATCTTGGGAAAGTTTCTGAACTCCTTTGGATGTTAGTTTTCTCATCTAGGAATAATAATGGAATCTATGTTAAAGGGTCAATGTGATATAATTCATTTAAAGAGCTTGGAATAATGCCTGACCCATAGTAAAACCTCAACAAATAGTACCTATTACAATGATTATTATTAATTACTTTACATTTATTATCTTACCTAATTCTCAAACAACCCTATGAGTTAGGCACATATACTAATAAGATCACCGATTAACAGACTGAGGACATGGCAGTTCACAGAAGTTAAAGAACTTGCCTAAAGTCACACAGCTAGTTACTGGTATATGTTTCAGAATTGGAAAAGCTTGACAATAATAAACTTGTATTTCACTGATAGTATAAATGCATGTTGGATTTGACTTTATATGGCGAAATGTCACCACTTTATTATACCTATTAAAAAAGTTAAGTTATATTAAATGGTTCTGCTAGGTTCACTCGGTATAAGAGGAAGAGATTGGCGAGAGACAATGAAACCATTAGCAACCTATTGTAGTGACACAATTGTAAAGAGAAAATGCCCTGAATCATGGGCCAGTTCAGACTAGAAAAACAAGTCAGAGATATCCTGATGTGGAAGGGGGAGGCCTGAAGAGAAGGAAGAGTCAAAGACCACCCATTTTAATCTTAAAGGGCCCAAAGGATGGTGGCAACAGGTAGAAACAGGGAAGTCAGGAGGACAGTTGGCAATGCGGAGTTCGCTTTTAGATGGACAGAGCCTGGGGTGATGGCTGGGAATTCGAGATTCTGCCACTGACATCTCTGTGCCTTAGTTTCCTCTCCTACAAAATGAGGAGTTGATCTAGAATTAATCCTTTGGATTCCTTCCAGCTTCCTAGAGGGTGCATGTAAATGAAATAGAGGAAGTGGAAGAAAGATATTGGGGCTTAAAAAGTCAGTGAGTGCTCAAGGTATTGGGTCATTAGTCTGGCTTTGATGTAAAAGAGGACAATGGGACAATGATTGACATTTTTAAGATTAAAGAAAACTGTGCCTTTTAAGAAATTACTTAGGTGGGATAATTAATACAGTCTTATCTAGAATGGAGGCTGTCTCCAAATTAACCCAAGAAATCTAAACTAAAATGTATAAGAATCCAAGTCAAGTAGCCTTTATTTGTCAGAGAGATAAACTTCAGTTTGCGTGGTGTGATGTGAAGGTGTTACGAAAGTCCAGCTGCCCCAAAAATATCTTTCTGATCCTCTTAAAACGTTGCCTGGATTTCCACCATTAAAATAAATCCCTTTGAATGTGGTTTGTCTTGTAAAATGCACATTTATTTCACATTCAGCTGTTGTCATGCTTTCTGGTGAATTAGTGAAGCAGGCTGCCAACTAGCTAAGGACAACCAACCGAGGAGACAAAGCTTTGGAGGAGGAGGTGGAAGGGATCCTTTTGATATGTGTGGCATTGCTCACATCAGTCAGTTCAACGATGTGTGGGCTCCTATTGTGCCCAGGTCTTGAGCTGCGTTCTAGAGGTGAAAAGGTTAGTAGATTGTGGTTCATTGCCTCAAGATTCTTACAGTCCAGAGAGTGGGCTGCATGAAGGTCACGGAGCTGGGGAGTTTTGAAAAGCGGGACCAGAGACTCAGAAAGGAAAGGTGGAAGGACAAAGAAGATTCTCTACCATCACAGTCTCATTGAAGGATTGGACACTTGATTCAAGGAAGGCTTTTTCTTGATCTCAGTGAGTTCCCCTAAGGAACCACCAAAATTTAAACTGGCGGGTTTGATACTCCATTGGCTGCAGAATGACAGATCATTCCAACTCCTTTAATTCGATGATTTTTTTGGTCCTTTGAAATTTAAATTAGTAAAATTTGACTATATCAGAACTTGTCAGCTATATTGTTGACTATGAAACACACGTCCGTTGCTATTTTTCATGTCCCTCTCCTCTTGTGGAACTTCACATATGCAGGACTGACCGCACAGTGGGATTGCTGAGGCTGGTGGAAATGTAGAGGAATGGGAGCTAGAAGGATAACTGAGCACTTCTTTAAACAGCACTTCTTTAAACAGACCAGAGGAGCACCACAGTCCCATAGATGGCATTCAACAAGCACCCTGAGACATAACTTCTAGTAAAGGAAAGGATATTCAACTACGGCTTAAAAGATTTGGGGGACCAGTTCTGGCTCTGGTGTTTGCTAGCTGAATAACTATAGGAAAACGTTACAATACTCACCTATATTTATTGAAGACAGACTATATGACAGGTACTGTGCTATGTGTTTTACTTGTAAAAACATTTAATTCTTACAACAACCCACTGAGGTAGGTTCTATCATGTTTCCTGTTTTATACGTGAGGAAACTTAAACACGGATAACTTCAAGATCATATTACCTAACATTTGTCAAAGCAGGGATTTGAATACAGGTAGTCAAACTCTAACGCCCGTGGTTAACTACTATGATACTCTAGTTACCTAAGTCTTTGAGGCCTCAGTTCCCTTAAAAATGGACATGTTGGGTCAGACAATGTCTAGATTTCTTTCTGGCTTTAAAATGTTATGATTCCAATTATATGAATTATACCTGTACTTAATATACTTAGGGTTAATCTCTGTCTCTGAGTGGTCTGTCTTAGAGAACTGAGCTCCAAAGACAAATTTCTGAAATCTGGTCTTATTTCCTAGCCATCTCTTGTGTTTCATTAGAGTTGGACCATATTATTCGCTGCTCCACCAAGAATGTCCTTCCTCAATCTCCATCTACTGAAATTCTATCCAGCCTTCAAAAACCAACTGAAATGCCACCTCTTTCAAGTAGCCATTCTCAGTCTTTGGAGATTTAGACTGGAGGTGTATTAGACTGTTGGGGGTTGGGATCTAGAAAAAATATCTGTGTTCATGAAAGGAAAAGATGTAGGATAAGGAGAAGAAAGGGTGGAGGGAAACACTTGGAGATGAGGAAGGTTAAGAGGACCATCAGTAGTGTCGTTGGTGACCCACACCAGCAAACCCTTTCCTGAGATGCACAATCATGAAGCCACCAAAGTGCTATTCAATGATGCCTAGCTACTAGGTGTGAGGTGAGGATTAAAATGAGATAACATAGGTGAAATAGTGTCTGGAGAGGCAACAGTGTGATAGTTCCGAATTCCGTTACTTGCATAGGAACTTGCTCATCTCCTTCATGCTGAAGAAGGCTGCCCTCCTGCCCAGGAAGGAGTAGGACAAGCAGAGGTGGGACGGGACTCAGTGGGGAAAAAAGAGGTCAGGAGGAGGTATATGGAAACACAAGGAGAAAAATGAGAGCCAGAGATAGAGAAGTAAGAGAGAAAAAGTAAACATACAGGAGTCATGGGAGAGAAGAGGATGGAAGAAGTGCAAGCAAAAGGGCAAAGAGAAAAAGAAAGAGGAAGGGAGTTCTGGGGTTTGGAAAGAAAAGGTTTGTGCTGCCCTGGCAAAACCCAAGCCCCAGAGGAAGAGTCCTGGAGGTAAGCAAGTGAAGCACCCAAGTCCAGAGCGCTCTCAGATTCCTTCTCGTTTCTCTGTTCTCATCTGTTATTGGAGGGGTTCTAACCCCTGCCCTCTGCTGCTTTCTACCACTGGGTGGTCCTGGAAGGTGAGAGGAAGGAAGGAGCCAGGGGATTCCTTCCACTCTCTCTGCTTTGGGAGGCATCTCCAGCAGTAGTTGCACTTCCTTCACGGCTCCAGCTCCCACTGGACAAGGCTTCATGGTTCTGGCAGCCTCCTCCCTTTGCCCCTCCAGCCCTAGGGGAGGAGATGTACCCAGCAGTTGCTAATCTCAGGGTTGCCTCACTTTCTCCTGGTTGTAATTCTAGTTCTTTCAACAGCTTTGTAACTAATGCACTGCATTAAATTATCACTATTGAAGTACCTGGAAAAGAAAACTTTACTTTCAGTTGTATTCACCCTTGGAGTTCAAAGACGGCTGTCTCAGGGAAAGCCATGCATTTCGTGAGAGAAAGAAATCCAGCCAACCCAAGAGTTACGAAGGGTCAGGGGCCAATTCTCCAGTGTTTGATTAGAGAGTGATGAATCCACAGGGGCTGCCAGAGTTGAGGAACTCTAGCCAGGGAATTATCTGTAAAATGACTGGGTTTGTGGCCATTCGTGTCCATTCCTTCATGACTTACTGTACTCACTTTGATCACCTTGAGCCTCCGTATAAGGAACATCTCAGTTTTATTCCTCCAAGGGTTATTAAGTGCCCATGAGGAGTATAGAGGGCACGTAGCTAGGTGTGGTGAGGCGGAGACACAGAGACATATTGGGAGGACATTCTCAGTTTTTGGAAGTGTTTGCGTTTTGCAAGATAAGGTTTGTGGATGGTCTATCAAGAGACCCTTTTGATACTCTCGTTTTTGCAGTTCCAGCAGAGCTGCAGACACTCAATTTTATTCTTCAGGCGTTCATCTCTCCCATCCTCAGAGCCCTGTTAAAACCAGGTTCCTGTTCTTAGGAATTCACAGCCTAGTGGGGACACAGAGTTGGGCACACGACTGACCCTCAGGCCAGGCTGATGGCAGCCACAAGGGAGGATTCTGCACAGGGTTCGGGGAGGCTGCACAGAGATGGTGGACAAGTTGAGTCTATTAAAGTTTGACAGGTCGAGGGGGCTACGGGTCTTCTGGCAGAGAACAGAGCAGGATCAAAATCAATTGTGAAAGAACAGGGGCATCTGAGGTGGTGTCTGTAGACAAGGGTTTTGGGGGTGAGGGTTGGTCACTGGAAAAGAGGCTGAAAGGTGGAGGCCCAGCTATGGAAGGCTCTGAGACTAAGGAGTTGGGGTTTGAGGCAACGGGAGTCATCGGAGGATCTTGAGCATCATGTGGCAAGGTCAATTCTGGGGTGGCAACTTTGAATTCTGCGCGGAGGACGGATTTACACGCGGAGAAGCTGGAGACAGGCGAAGGAACCGAGAGGTCTCAGAGATGGCTCATACATGGGAAGCCTCAGCTTGACCATCACCAAAGGGGCATGTTAACCTCAATTGAGCGGCTTTTCTCTCCACCAAGGGCAAGCATCCTCCGTGTGTGTGTGTGTGTGTGTGTGTTGGCGGGGGAGGGGGGAGGGGAAGGGGTGGGTGGGGGGTTCCTTCTACGGCTGGAAGATACGAGGACTCCAGCCTCCGAAGTTTCGAATTTCTCCTTGCCAAGGTCGGGCCCCTACAGGTGGGCGCTTTCGAGCCCCGGGCCAACGTGCGGGCCCCGCGCCCGGCTGCCGCCGCGGCTCGTCCCCTCCAGGCCCGGACGCCGCCGCGGGCCGTGCCGGGTAGGGCGCTCCGGGAGCTGCGCGGCGGCTGCTCGAGGAGGCCTGGCGGGCGGCGGCGAGAGGCTGTGCCCCAGTTTGTGTCCAATCAGGGAGTGCGGGCTGTGCCCCGAGCCGGGCAGCAATGCGTAAACAAACCCACGGCAACTCCTCCGCCCCCTCGGCGCGCTCGCCCCGCGCCCGCCGCCGCAGCAGCCGCCGCCGCCGCCGCCGCCGCCGGCTCTGCTCGCCTTG